GAAGAAGAAGAAGAAGAAGAAAATGAAGAAGGAGGAGGAGGAGGAGGAGGAGGAGGAGGAGAACAACAACAACAACAGCAACAACAAGAGCAACAACAACAGCAAAAGCGACAAGGAGGGGGTAAAGTCGGAAGATAGCACTTCGTGAAGGAATAGAGGGACACCATAATAATAATAATAATATAGAACGAACAAACTACAGATGAACAAATACAGGACAACAAAATGATGCACTCGATGGCCCAGAGAGGAAACGTGTCCCCAGTATTAAATTCTTACCAACAGCTGAAAGGATTGGATTTCTGAAAGAACCGATAAACGGGGAAAGTTTCAGTCCAGCAGGAATTCTGGATTGTCCCTACATATCTGTTTCTTTGTTTTGTGTGACGACATCCCAGACATACCCCCCCCCCCAAAAAAAAAACACACACACGCACAACCCCCCCCCCCTCCTCCCCCTCCTTACTCACACACCCTAAATCACCGAAAACGGTTAAAGCGGTGTGGGGGTGAGAAAGATGAGTCGATTTATTTTTGAGGCGTCCTTTTTTAACCCTCCAACCGTCAGTAAAGTTGAGGTAACCTTTTTTACCCCCCCAGCGGCTACTCTTGAGACGTCCTTTCTTAACCGTTTCACCATACGTCAGGTTGAGGCGTCATTTTCCAACCCTCCAACCATACGTCAAGTTGAGGAGTCATTTTTTAACCCTCCAACCGTCAGTCTAACTGAGGTGTCCTTTTTTAACTCTCCAACCATACGTTAGTTGAGGCGTCATTTTTTAACCCTCCAACCATACGTTAGTTGAGGCGTCATTTTTTAACCCTCCAACCATACGTCTTGTTGAGGTGTCATTTTATTCAGACGTCCTTTCTTAACCCTCTCACTGTCAGTCTAGTTGAGGTGTGCTTTTTTTAACCCTCCTACCATACGTCTAGTTTAGTCGTCATTTGTTAACTCACCAAGCGTTGCTGACAAATAGCGTGTGGTTCAGATATTACCAAGCTAAAAAAAAATGAAATTGAAATGTTTAGCAATTTCTTAATTTGCAGTATCCATAGCATTTACTCGAGAAATATTTCTTTAAAATTCAAATTCTAAATGTTGAAAACAGCAAGAAATTGTAGATTATGGACGTTATTTATTTAAAGAATGAAAGCGTTGTTTTCTTTCTCTATCTCCTTTTCTCTCTCTGTCTCTCCCTTTCTCTCTCTGCCACTCTCTCTCTCTATGATCATGTATCTTTCTATCTATCTCCCTTTCTCTCTATCTCTATCCCCCCTCTCTCTCTCTTTCTCTCTCTCTCTCTCTCTCTCTCTCTCTCTCTCTCTCCTGAACATTTTTTTTCTTTTTGGGCTTAAACGGTTAAACAGCTGGTGGGCTGGTGTTTTCTGGTACCTGTCCGGTCGCTAGGTGACCCTGGATCACCTTCGGTAAGCCTGGGTGACCTTTGCGACCCCTGGCTGGCCGTGGGATGTGCCAGAGGGCGGTGGTCGGTGTGGTGGAGATGATTAAACTTCACACTTGGAAGAGTCCGTGGTCATCTCTTGGTGTGGCTCTGTGAGGTTGTGTGGGTGTGTGTGTGTGTGTGAGCTTGTGTGAATGTGTGTGTGTGTGTGTGTGTGTGTGTGTGTGTGT